TAGCAGTCATGGGTAATTTCAGGTTTAGGCAACCATGATCAAAGATAAAACATATTTTAATAATTCAATACATGAAATTATCTATCCTTGAAGGTAAAAAAAAAATATGTTCTTAGTAGAAAAAAATTGTGTCTGAACAAACACAATTTGTGAAATTAAATTTTTCAACTTTTTTTTAGGATCAGAGATTTTTAAAAATTAATTTATTTTGACTTATCAACAATCACTTCCATATGCTTTTGAGTTTAAAATTTTTCTCCCCCTTCCTCCCCACCACCCTCCTCAAGATGGCACACAATCTGATATAGGCTATACATACACATTCCCATTAAACATATTTTCACATTAGTGATGTTGTAAGTAAAAATTAGAACCAATAGGAGGAACCACCAGAAAGAAGAAACAAAACTCAACAGAAGAAAAAAATAGCAAATAACATGCTTAGATCTGCATTCAAACTCCATAGTTCTTTCTTTGGATGTGGAGAGCATTTTCCATCATGAGGCCTTTGGAGATGTCTTATATCCTTGTATTGCTGGGAAGGGTTAAGTTTATCATATTAGTCATCACACAACATGGCTGTTACTGTGTACAACATTCTTTTGGTTCTGCTCATTTCACTCAGCATCAGACCATACAAGTCTTTCCAGGTTTTTTTGAAGCCAGCCTGTTCATCATTTCTTATAGCACAATAGTATTCCATTACATTCATATAACACAACTTGTTCAGCCATTCCCCAATTGATGGGCATCCTCTCAATTTCCAATTCTTCGCCACCACAAAAAGAGCTGCTCTAAATATTTTTGTACATGGGGATCCTTTTCCTGTTTGTATAATCTCTTTGGGATATAGCTCTAGAAGTGCTATTGCTGGGTGAAAGGATATGCATATTTTTATAGCCCTTTGGACATAGTTACAAATTGCTCTTCAAAATGGTTGGATCATTTCACAACTCCACCAACAATGCATTAGTGTTCCAATTCTCCCACATCTTCTGTTACAGCCTTTCTTACCCCAACCTAGGGGTAAAGATTATTGTTCTCACTTTACAGATATAGATATTAAACTGAAGAACTTGTTAGCACTGTTTGAGGCCCAAGGTTTGAGCTCTCACTTCCTCCTCCAAGGTGGTGCTGAAGCACCTGGGTCCTTTTCATCTTGGCTTCCAGGTGAGTGTTTTAGTCTCCAAGCACTTTCCCAATTAAAACAAGATGAACCCCAGTCACCAAGTTCAAGACCAAGTGTGGGGCTGGACTGGTTGCTTGGTTCAGCTGGCAGAGGATGGGCCCAGCGAAAGCTGATGTGGGAAAAGTCAAGATTGACCCGAGAAGCTCTAGGAGATAAGGGTGACCCACCCTTTGGAGAAGACCTGAGTCCAACCTGGCAACTAAACTCCAAGGAATAAAGAGCACAGCCAGGAAGAAGTCAAACAGCCAAGGTCAAGGCATGTCTCAGCAGAAACACTGAGGTTTCTCCAAGTTGCTAAACTGGTCACTCTTTGACCCAGTGACATCACTACTAAACCCATACATGCCAAAGAGATCACAGAGAGAGGAATTGGACCCACATGTGCAAAAATGTTTATAGCTGCTCTTTTTGCAGTGACAAAGAACTGGAGACTAAGGAGTGCCCATCAATTAGAGAAAGGTTGAATAAGCATATGTGTTTGTGATGTGTATGGAATGTGACGTATGTGAATAGGATGGAATATTATTGTCTTATTAAAAATGGTGGCGGGGATGTTCTCAGAAAGACCTGGGAAAATTTATATGAACTGATGCAAAGTCAAGTGAACAGAACTGGGTGAATATCTATACAATAACAGCAACGATCAACAGAAAAATAACTTTGAAAACTGATCAATGAAATGACCAAGCACAATTACAGAGGACCCAGGCTGAAGCCTGCTTGCTAACTCCTGACAGAGAGGTGATGGACCCATGGTACTGAATGACATACATTTCTGGACACAGCCAACATGAGGATTTGTTTATGTGGCTGCATATTTCCTATTGCTCATAGGCTGCTGGGAGAAGTCACTTACTATAGCTTCTCATTGGATTTCTTGAATATTTTTCAGTCTGGAACAAGTTTTAGCATTTTTGCTGAACCAAGCATCCACCTGCCATATGCCTCCTTTTAGGTAGTCATCATGGGCAGAAACACACACACACACACACACACACACACACACACACACACAGAGAAAGAGAGAGAGAGAGAGAGAGAAATAACTAGCTTTTCAGTTAATAGGATTAAAGGCTCTAAAGAGGAAAGTGACCATAGAGCCTTCTAGTTCCAACCCTTACAATAATTTATTTTCTTTTCAATAGGCAGAGTAAAGAATATACAGTATCAGAGCTTGGAGGGATCTCAAGCAGATAACAGAAAATGCTGGAGCCAAGAGGGACCTAGAACACAGAACAGAGAATGTCAAGAGCTGAGTGACCACTTAGAATAGAGATTGTCACAGCTTAGAGGGACCTGAGAACACAAAAGAGAAAATTTCACAGCTGGAGGGTGTGTGGAGGGGGGAAGACAGCTGAGAACGTAGAACGTCAGAACCACAGAAGGATTAGAACACAAAATAGAGAATGTTGGGGCTCAGAACATAGAACATAGAATGTCAGAGCTGGTGGGGCTTCAACTAGAGAATGGCACAACTGGGGAGGGTGTCTCAGAACCCAGAACAGAAAATATCAGAGCTGAGAGTTCCCAGCTGAGAAGGACCTGTGAACACAGAAGAGAAAATGTCAGATCTGGACAGCAAGGTGAGGGTGGTTTAGAAAATAGAATGTCAGAACCAGACAGAGCTTAGAACACAGAATCAGATAAGGGCCCCATTTCTAAAATGTATAGAGAATTAAGTGAAATTTATAAGAATACAAGCCATTCCCCAATTGATAAATGGTCAAAGGATATGAACAGACAGTTCTCAGATGAAGAAATTAAAGCCATCTATAGTCATATGAAAAAATGCTCTAAATCACTATTGATTAGAGAAATGCAAATCAAAACAACTCTGAGGTACCACATCACACCTATCAGAATGGCCAACATGACAAAACAGGAAAATGATAAATGTTGGAGAAGATGTGGGAAAATTTGGAACACTAATGCATTGTTGGTGGAGTTGTGAAATGACCCAACCATGCTGGAGAGCAATTTGGAACTATGCCCAAAGGGCTATAAAAATGTGCATACCCTTTGACCCAGCAATAGCACTTCTAGGGCTATATCCCAAAGAGATCACATAAATGGGAAAAAGGACTCACGTGTACAAAAATATTCATAGCAGCTCTTTTTGTGGTGGCAAAGTATTGGAAATTGAGAGGATGCCCATCAATTGGGGAATGGCTGAACAAGTTGTGGTATATGAATGTAATGGAATACTATTGTGCTATAAGAAATGATGAACAGGCTGACTTCAGAAAAACCTGGAAAGACTTGTATGGTCTGATGCTGAGTGAAGTGAGCAGAACCAAGAGAACAGTGTACACAATAACAGCCACATTGTGTGATGACTAATATTGATAAACTTAACCCTTCCCAGCAATACAAGGATCTAAGACATCTCCAGAGGCCTTGTGATGGAAAATGCTATCCACACCCAAAGAAAGAACTATGGAAGCCGAATTGTTATTTTTTTTCTCTTCTGTTGAATTTTGTTTCCTCTTTCTGATGGTTCCTCCTATTAGTTTTAATTTCTACTTACAACATCACTAATGTGAAAATATGTTTAATATGAATGTAAGTGTATATCCTATATCAGATCTGGTTGCAGAGGGTGGTGGGGAGGAAGGGAGAGAAAAATTTTAAACTCAAAAGCATGTGGAAGTGATTATTGATAAATCAAAATAAATTAATAAAAAAAGAAAAAAGAAAAAAAAGAACACAGAATCAGAGTTGGTGAGACTTAGAACACAGAACATAGAATGCCACAGCTGAAGGAACTTAGAAGACAGAACAGAGGATATCAGATTTGGTGGAACTCAGGACATAGAACATAGAATGCCAGAGCTGAGGAAGCTTAGAACGCAGAACAGAGAATGCTCAAGGTGGAATAAAACCACAATTTCAAAGTTAGAGGGAACCTCTGAGTTCATTAGCCTTGACTAGTTTACCTGAACTAGCATTTATATTTTGCAAAGCCTTTACATGTTATCTCATTTGATGCATACAACAATCTTGGGAGGTTGTCCCCACTTTATAGATGAAAAAACTGGGGCTGAGAAAGCCTTGCTCTGGTCATGTCTGCCTAAATCCAAGTCCAGCGTTCCACAGGCCCTGTACCATAAGGGTCCTCAGCATCACTCCATCCTTCAAGGGGTCCTCCACTTTGCTGGAGGTCCTCCATTGAGAGAGAATCCAGCCTGTGCTGAGGATGCCCATCCCATTCTGGGACAGCCCTGATGCCTAGACTTTGTTCCCTTTAAATAAAGCCTCATGCTGCCTTTTCACTACATCCACCCATTACCACACTGGTCGGTGAGGACCAGGGTGGACAAGCCTAGACCTTCTACCTGACAGTTCCTCAGAAAGGAAGTTCTCATTCATTCTCTCCCATCTAAATACTTCTTTCGTCATTCAAAACTCACATTTATCAACACAGAGATTTGCTGGATCAAAGTCTTAAGAACTCCCTATTTTAAGACCCTTGAGGGTTTGCAAAGCCCTTTCTTCACAACAATCCTGGAAGAGGTGTGTGGGTATGTTTGTGTATGCGTGTGTCGGGGGTGCATTTTACAGATAAGAGAACAGGCTGGGGAGAATTTTTGTGAGAAGTCAAAGAACTTTGGGTTATAAAATATCACTGATACATTTACAGCTTTTGTCTGAGTCAAGACCTGAATGGAGGTAGGGGGAGCCAGTCAAAGGCAAGGGTAGAATGAGGGACATGTATGCTGGTGCTAGTGTAGGGGGTCAGAGCTGGAAGCCAGACTCAGGACCGTTCCTGAGCCTCTCCCTCCCTAATCCCATCTGGGCTCTCCTGAGGTAGATGGCACCCAGCCCAGCCCAGTCCACCCCAGCAGGGAGTAGGCAGCCCGCCCAGGGAGGAGCAAAGGAGATGCTGCCTGTCCCCACAGCCCCAACTGAGACAAAAGGCTATCGGGGTCAGGGGTGGCAGTTACATCAAGAGCAGAGACCCAGGAGCACCACGAGCGGCAGAGTCAGAGCCCTGAGCCCTCAGCAGCAGGACGCCCTAATCCAGGTGAGCCCCGCGGCTGTCTCCCATCACCACCTCATCCAACAGTCACTAGGTCCTACAGAAAACAAAAGGGGTGTGTACGGGTCAAGGTGTATGGGTCAGCTCTTCCTTCTTCACTGGCTGCTGCCCCAGACCACAGATCCAGCTGAGGGGCACCTCCTTCAGCTAAAAGGCCGTCTGGGGGTGCTTTAAAGTTTACAAGGAACCTTTCTTAAAACAGCCCAACTAGGAAGGCAGGACAAATGTTATTCTATCCATTTTACAGATATGAGCAAACTGAGTTTAGAATGACTCCTGTGCCTTTTGTCCCAATGTTGGGCAAGGTCCTTTCCTTATCTGTAAAATGATGGGAGTGATGAGTCAGTGGCCTCTGAGAGTCCTTCCAGAGCTGTATCTTTGATCCCATGAGCAGACTCTGGAGTCTGGGCTCTGGTCTGGAGGATTCCTTGAGACAGGGCATCCCCACCCTGGTCTTGCCCAGACTCCCCTGGGGCCCAAAGCAGCCCATTGCAGTCAGGCCCTGGGTGGGGGGAAGAGGGGGCCCTTCCTTCCCCTCTTTTCCTCTCTCCCTTCCCCTGCACCAAACTAGCTGAGGAGGTCAGAGCAGCAGGACAGACGACCCAGCCTCGGAAGCTCCTGAGTTCCGGATTGGAGACCTGAGCCCCTGGCAGGAAAAGCTGATCCGAGGGAGTGTAATGACCCCTCCAGCTCCTTGCAGCCCAGGCAGTAGCCCAGCCCATCACCCCATCCTACCTCCTTCAGGGAGCTCGTCCAGAGGAGAGAGCCCTGAGGTCAGAGGCAGATGGGCCAGATTCCTCCTCCTTAGCCATGTGACCTGGGAAAAGTCCCTTCCCTTCCAGGGGCCTCAAAAGAGGACGTTGAGCTGGACAATCTCCAAGGTCGCTTCCAGTTCCAATTCTATCCTCCTGCTCCCACTTTATTCATACATTCACAGATCCAGAAGGGACCTCAGAGTCCATTTTATAGATGAGGAAACTGAGACCCTGCAACATTTAAGTGACTTAGGTTGCATTAGTAGTGAGCGTCAGAGGTAAGATTTGGATCCAGGTTCTCCGACTACGTCTTTATCTGCTTGTTCTATCACATTGCCCATTGCCCCTGCCAGATCTCATGATCCCAGGATGGGAGGCTGGGAGAGGGCTCCAGGAAGGGCAGGGCAAGGCAGGGCAGGGCAAGGCAGGGCAGGGCAGGTTGGCACTCCTCCATTCACCATCTCCAATTTTGTTTAAAATTGCTCCGGCGTTTCAAGATTTGCAAAGCATTATTTCATTTAATCCTGCAACCTGGTGAGGCAGGTACCTGATTATCCATAAGGAAACAGTCAGAAATATTAGTGACTTGCCCAGGGTCACCCAGTAAAGATGTTTAAGGCAGGATTCCTCCTCTGCCATCCCTCCTAGCCCCCTGCCAGCCAGGTGAGTGTATCCCTTCCCTTGGTGAAGCTTCATCCCATGACAGCCCCGGGCTGGGGGAGAGAGCAGGGCTGGGGCTGCCCCTCAGGGGGCAGGAGAAAGCTGGGCTGCTTCTAGACCCCTGTCGCCTCCCTTCCCTCCCCTCATGCTCAGCTTCCTACCTCTACAATCTGGGAAATGGTCCCTCCTCCCTACCTGGGTACAGGAGAGCCCCGGGGCCATGAGTCCTTCCATGCTATGCTGGGAGGGCAGAGGGAGGGCAGCTACAGCCTGTGCCCAGCCAGCTGCCCCCCCCCAGCTCCTCATGGGGAGTCGGGGAGGAGTGGGTGCCCCTGCCAGGAGAAGCTCAGAATCTCCCCTGTTCATCCCTTACCACTCCTGGCAGTAAAGAAAAGAGCCCACATTGGGAGTCACAAGATTTCAGTTTGAATCCAGCCTCTGCCACCATGGGACCAAAAGCAAATCACTTTCCCTCTCTGGGCCTCAGCTTCCTCCTCTGTAAAATGGGGATAACATTTGCAGACCCTGCCTTGGAGGGTTCTGCAGAGAAAGCAGTTTGTGACTCTTAGGGTGCTATAGAGATGAGTCAAAGGACCTGAAATCCCAGCTCTGCCCCTCATCCTATGTGTGACCTTGGGCAAGTCCTTGCCATTCTTGGTGCCTCAGTTTCCCTACCTCTACAAGGAGCAGTTTAGGGTCAATGTCCTCTAACATCCAAATCATTGATCCCTGTGATCTGAGGCAAGTCCCCCTCTCTTGGGGGCAGGGCATTTCCTCACCTGCAAATACAGAGGCAGGTTTTAATTCAGGGCCTTGGGCTCAGCGTCAATGCTCAGCGAACATTGGGGGATTTCTTCATGGCTGTGAATCAGTCTGGTGAGGAAAGACACTTAGCCAGGACACTGTCTCCCTAGGGGCTGGCTGCCCCCCATCCCTCTCCCAGTGAGTGCTTAGGGACCTACTATTTCAGGTGATGCCTGAATTCCAGGCATCCTCAAAGAAGTCTGGGCCCCTTTTCTTCTTACTTGGGTCCTAGTCAGGGAGGGATAATGGGGAAAATCCAGGACTTAGAGTTGGGACCCCGGGTTCTAGTCAAAGCTCTGCCCTTTCCTAGCTGGGGGATCTTAGATAGGTCACTTCCTCTTTGCCGCCAAGACAGATGTGTTGGGCTCGGTGACCCAAGTGGGCTCCTCCCAGGTCCAAAAGTCTGTGACCAGAGCCTGACTACCCAAGGATGAAGGCAGCCCCAGAGAGCCGCCCCTGAAGGTCCTGCTGGTCTGGACAGCCCTTCCACACCTGCTGACATCGGGCAAGATGCCCAGGGCTCCCCTCTGGCATTTCCTGACTTTGCCTGAGGATCAAGAAGGGAGTTGTGTGTGGATGGGGAGTGGCTTTGCCCTCAGGGCAACCACAGTCCGTGCTTTGGGAATGGAGTCTGGCATGTACAGGTCAGTGTCTCTGACCTTCCTGGGACATGCAGGTCCCCACTAGGCAGGGGGTGTGACTGGGGAGGAACAGTGGAAAGTTTCCCTCAGTGCTGCCTGTCTCTTCCCAGAAGTTTCCCAGGTGAGCTTCTCCAGGAGGTGAGACCAGGAGAGATGCCAAAGAAACGACTCTCATCTTTCAATAAGACTTGAGTGTTTATGAACCACTTTCTCAACAACTCTGTGAAATGGTAGGACAGCCAAATGGGAGGAGATCTCAACCCCCTAACAACTACTCCATACAGCCTTTCTTCACCAGCATTTTCACCTGTGATTTCACTGCTTCTAAGGAGCACCCAGTGAGGACACTGCCTGAGTGAATGAGGTTATCATCTCAGAGACTAGCTGGGTGACCCTGGGGAAGTCACTTAACCTCTGCCTCAGTTTCCCCACCTGTAAAGTGAGGATAATAATGACATTACCTCCCAGGGATGTGAGGTTCAGATGAGATGATGTCTGTAAAGTGCTCAGCACAGTGCCTGGTACTTGTAATGTTGCTCAGTTTCTCAGTCATGTCCCATTCTTTGTGACCCCAGGGACCAGAGCACAGCAGGCTCTTCTGTCCTCCACCATCTGTCTGTCAAAGTCTGTCCAAGCTCATATTTGCTGCCCCATGACACCCTCTATCCATCTCATCCTCTGTTGTCCCTTCTCTTTTTGCCTTCAGTCTTTTCCAACATCAGGGTCTTTTCCAATGAGTCCTGATTCTCATTATGTGGCCAAAGCATTGAAGCTTCCACTTCAGTATTTGTCCTTCCAGTGAATAGTCTGAATTTCTTTAAATATTGACTGATTTGATCTCCTTGTTGTCCAAGGGACTCTCAAAAGTCTTTCCTAGCACTATAAATAAAAGCATTGATTCTGTGTTACTCAGTTTTCCTTATAGTCCAACTCTCACAGCCACACATCATACGTACTGGAAAAACCATAGCTTAGACTATATGGTCCTTTGTTGATGTCTCTGCTTTTTAATTTGCCATCCAGATTTACCATGACTTTCCTTCCAAGGAGCGAGTATCTCTTAATTTCATGGCTGCAATCACCATCTGCAGTGATCTTTGAGCCCAAGACCATAAAATCTGACACTGTTTCTGTTTCTTCTCCCTCTCTTTGCCAGGAAGTGATGGGACCAGTTGCCAAGATCTTAGCTTTTTTGATGTTAAACTTCCAGCCAGCTTTTACCCTCCCATCTTTAACCCTCATAAAGAGGCTTCTTAATTCCTCTCCACTTTTTACCATCAGAGTGGTATCATCTGCATATTTGAGATTGTTGACATTTCTCCCAGCAATCTTCATTTTGGCTTTTGATTCATGCAGCCTGGCATTTCACATGATGTACTCTGCACATAACTTAAATAAATAAGGGGACAAAATACAACCTTGTCATATTCCTTTCCCAATCTTAAACCAATCAGTTGTTCCATGTTCAGGTCTAACTGTTGGTTCTTGGCCCACATACAGGTTCCTCAGGAGTCAAGTAAGATGATCTGGTCCTCCCATCTCTTTGAGGATGCCACATTTTCTTGTTGTTCACACACCCATAGGCTTTAGCAATGAAGCAATGAATTTAGTCAGTGAAGCAGAAGTAGAGTTTTACTGGAACTCCCTTGTTTTCTCCATAATTCATGTTGGCAATTTGGTCTTTAGTTCCTCTGCCTCTTCAAAAACCAGCCTGCTTTTCTGGTAATTCTTGGTTCGCGTATTGCTGAAGCAAGCCTAGCATGCAGAATCTTAAGCATAACTTTGCTGGCATGTGAAATAAGGGCAATTTTTTGGTAATGGGAACACTCTTTGGCATTTCCCATCTTTAGGATCAGGATGTAAACTGGCCTTTTCTTTTTTTTTCTTTTTAAAAAAAATTTATTAATTTATTTTGATTTATCAACAATCACTTCCATAAGATTTTGAATTTAAAATTTTTCTCCCCTTCCTTCCCCCACCCTTCCCAAGATGGCTCGCAATCTGAAATAGGCTCTACATATACATTCCTATTAAACATATTTTCACATTAGTCTTGTTGTAAAGAAGAATTAGAACCAATAGGAGGAACCACAAGAAAGAGGAAACAAAACAAAGCAGAAGAAAA